CCTTCTGAACAAATATCAAAGAGAGCTGCCGTACTTAAATTCATAGTGTGTTTTTGTTGTTTTGTTTCGTGGTGTGGGATTCTGTGAGTTGCTAATTCAACACCCTTGATGGAGAATATGACTGGCAGTTTGAGGCCTCTGACCCCAGAGTTTTAACAGAAGAATGTGCCACAGAATAAAACAAAAGAGAAATACATTTCAGAGGGGAGACTCACACATAAAAGAAACATAAAAACAGCAGGAACTAAGACTGTCATAATTAGTTTGAAAAAATAATCTGTCTTCAAGCAACATACTGCGCTTGATTTGTGATAAATAACCGTAATGTGCTATTGAAAGAGCCTTGCCAAGATGGCCTTAAAGTGCTGATACTTTCAAATTAGTCCCACTTCCCATTAAATATTGATGTTGCAAGAGTTGGATAGTAGACTTTGGAGAACTTTTCCCCGGTTGCTGTGGAGGGAGAAAATAGACTCGGGCAGGTGGGGGGAGGAAGAAAACGGAAAATATCTCTGAAAATAGAGTCTTGCATATGAAGAGAGAAACACCCACCAGCAGCATGGGCACTTGCAAACATGAAGCAACAAGGCGGCTATTTACGGAAACCACTCTGAAGAAAGAAGGGCATTGATGTGCCAGCTAACTTTGCATCATCAGTCCCAATTCTCAAAACCAAAACTTGGCCACAGTGTTCCTGTTTCAAACTGGGTCAGACTCATGAGTCTGCTGAATGGATCTGGGCTCCAACTGATCCAGAGGCCTGGGCTCAGGAATTCTTTCTCCCTGGCCTACTGACATGTTGAGTCAGATCACTCTTTGCTGGAGGGAGCTATTTTGTGCTCTACAGGCTGTGTTGAGGTATCCCTGGCCTCTATTCACCAGATGCCTACTGCACTCCCAGTTGTGACAAAAAATATCTTCAGACACTGTGGCATGTTTAATACCTAGCAGAGGACAGCAGAAAGTGTCCCACTCTCACTGATACCGCTGCTATGGACACCAGAGAGAAGCCTTGTTCAGGAACGGCAGGCTGGTTCACCCAACACATCCTCATCCAGTCTATTCCCATAGACAGCAACTTACAACAGGGTTCTGAGGCTGTAAATTTTTACAGAAGAGACTTCTCATCTCTCTCCTGCAAATGATCAACGATGGAGTCAGACTACAGATCCTTCACAACTAGCAGCCCAGCCCATGAAGCACTACACCACCAGGGCTCAATGTGAGAAGAAATGAAATGTGACTTAAAACCCTGAGGGACAGCAAAAGAAAACAACAAATGAGTAGTTGTAGCTAATGAAGACGGTCCTTCTTCCGTGACAACAGGTTTAAAGGAAATTAGACAAGCAATAGAAATACACGTCTCTCTGGCAATAGCTTACTTTTATTTCAATAAAGTAAAAATTTAAGTCAGTGTCACTTTTCCACTGAAAAGTCTCCCTCCTCCTTTGTAGGACTCGAGCTCAGTGATTGGTCTAAGTATGGATATGTGACCCAACCACGGTCATCTACAGGGACTGCTGTGGTTGTTGGATGAGAGTGACATTAAACAGCGGCCAGCTTTGCTACCAGCCCGAGGCTGGCTGATGGAGAAGCTGCCTGAGAGGCAAGCAGGACTAATAAGTGAGGCAGACCAGAGGAGCCTTTACTTGCTTCATGCCTGAAGCCAGCCCTTTCCTTACAATCCACAACTTCAATTACAACTCAGAGCAGTCCTCTGCGAGGTTTCCAAGTCTGTAAATCTCAAGAGGTGCCTGCCCATCTTTTCCTCTTGGAGCCACTGGTGGGTCCAAGCTTCCAGAGACTCGCCTTTTGGTTAGCAATACAACAGACTGTGGACTGTGCCATCAGAGCACCCCATCCACTCCTTAGACTTCCCATCCAATTAACAAAGACATACCCCCCTTCCTGCTAAGAGTCACTACAGCATTCCTGGACAGTACCATGCTCAGCGGTTTACCAGATTTGCTCGATAAATTTGAGCCCGTTCAGGAGGGCTGCTAATTAAAGGCTTGGCAATCTATCTACTACTGAAAAAACCAGCCAGTGAAAACCCTACTCTGACACACAGGATCACTCTGATCCAGAATCAACTCAATAATGACCAAGAATTAATCCTCCTAACAATGCACTCTATAGTGCAAAGTTGCACTCTCTGAATGAGATTATTAATCACAAGGGGGCAGGGGTGGAAATGTATTTCTCTGTGCCAAAAATTTCCTAGGGATAACCTGAAAGGATAGATCTTCTAAAGACCACCACTCTCCAGGGAACCATGTATCAGGTAACGTACAAATTTATGACATCTAAGTTAAATTTTATTCTTTTTCTTTTCCAATGTTGCTCAATCAGTAACAGAAGACCAATGACATTCTTTTGTATTGAAATGATTTAAATGATGAGGCATTCTCTAACCCTGCAGTTTTAAAGTAAAAATGCTTTCTGTGATGTAAAACACCTTCACATTCCAAATTCAAAGAGTAATTATAGAGTTCAAAATTTAATGTGAAAGGTCATATGTTCTGCTATTACAGATATAAATGGGAATAATTAAAATATTCAGATAATAAATATTATCGATATCACACAGATATAAATACTTGCTCCAACATAAAGGACTGCTTTAGGGGCCTCTGACAATGATGAAGATCAATTTTGTGCATTTGGTCATTAATCACCATCTCCTAATTGGGTTTAATTTGATTGCGTGCTCATTAGAGTTATAAACTAACACACTCATTTAATTGTGATTATACTTCAATGGCTGAACTTTTATGGTACAATGAACAAGTTAATAGCTAAAGATAATTTTGCTCTTAAAAATATCACATAAGACTTATGCTTTAATGAACTACATACACTGAATGTATTTTATGATGCTTCCTTCAAAAGAGTTCAAGAATGTTCCTTTCTCTCAATAATTAAAAAGAACTTCAGACATCACAGAGGTTTTGCAAACACCCTCGAGGAATGGTTCCTCACAAGCCTGCTCCCTGCTGCCTCATCCCAGGCGATGTCTGTTCACAAGGAGTGAATGAAAATACTATTGCAGCCCGATTTTTATCCCACTCCACAGCTGAGCTTCCTTTTCTTATCTAATATGAACGAAGCCGCATGTTTTGCTTACTAGTTGGAAAGGCAATTTATGACCTTTAAAAACTTTTATATTGAATTATTTCTTTTGATTCTTAGATTTAATTATCAGTCACTCAATGCAGCATGCATTTTGATTGATATTCTCAAACTGAATGCCACTTCTAGGTCACTCTGATGGAAACAAACTATTATTTTAAAATGGAAAAAAAAATTAAATGTAGGTCACCCTAAGTCAGTCTGATTTATCAGACCCAACAAGCCAACTAGGTTTAGAAAAGTATAAAATCAAATCCTGGCTCCAGTAACTAGCTAGCTGTTTGTTTGTGAGAGGAGTCATATTATTATTTTAATCAATAAAATGTGGATAAAAAATTCCAACATAAAAAAAGCAATCTGAGACTTAGGCCAGCTAAGAAATGTCCAGGTCTGTGTATATAGTGCTTGGCAGATCCAGAATTTGAAACCAGGTTTCTCTGGGTTTGAAGCATGTATTTAAGTATTTCTGAGGCTGATGACAAAACTTCTGAAATATACTGAGTAGAGTGGTGTACCATTCACCTTTGGTTTTGTTTGTGCCAGACAGCTCATTTCATATATAAATCCAGTAGCACATCCCTGTTTCAGACTGCTCACACAATGCCGAGAGCAGTGGCGGGCCCTGGTAGAATACTCAGCCTCCATGCAGGAGATGAGGTTCATTCCGTGACCCGTACCTTTTTGTTAGTAGGTGTCTGTGTGTTGCTATGATGCTAAACAGGTTTCAGGGGATGTTCCAGACTAAGGCAGTCTAGGAAAAAAGGCTTAGTGATCTATTTCTGAACTTGAGCCAATGAAAACCCTATACATAGCAGTGATCTGATCCATGACCAGTCACAAAGATCCAGTGATTTGATCCACAACCTGATCACAAAGGATGGGATGGGGCTTTGTGCACAGGGCTGGCGTGACTTGAGGGTGGAGCCATAGGATGTGCAAGACTTTGTGCAAGAGCTGGGGTGAAGCATGCTAAGACAAGGCTGACAAAGCTCATGTTCTAGAACCACTCCCTCACACTAACCTTTCCTCCTCATCAAACACACACACACACACACACACACACACACACGCTTTTGCTATCAAGTTAATACCTTGTTGGATATTTCTGATACACAGAACATAGTGTAATGGTGGTAGGTTCTGAGATATGAAACAATAATGTATGTATAATCTAAAATTATATGACTGAGGGAGCTCTGGTGGCCTAGTGATAAGAAACTGGGCTGCAATGTGGAAGGCTTGTGGTTCAAATCCACCAGATGCTCTGCTGCAGAAGGAAGGGCAATCTCCTGTGTCAGCTGGATCTGATTAGATGATACACAACAAGGACAAAAAAAAATATGATTGATAAATGAAGTCGTTGCCCCAAAATTGCCTCCTCCTATCTGAAAAAGATGCTATTGAGCAAATAAGGTAGAAGAGCTAGACTTGTGGGCAATCATGGCTTCACCAGGATGACATAACTGTAGCATGAGCATAGATAAACTAAAATGCTTCAAAAAGTTCCTGTACCATTACAGATGTATTCACTACATTATAGTTATGTAACTCCTATTTCCACCCAAATATTTCCCTCAGCAGTACCAGTGATAAGCCAGGGAAAAAAATGGGTGTTTTCAGTAAAATAAACAAGCAGATTCCTCTGAGGCCTGGCATTTGGCTCAAACAAACCCAAGTACTGAAAAATTCAACTGCATCATGGGAGCATTTAAAACTATGCAGATATAAAGGTACTGAGATAAATTAATGCAAAACTGCCACTACATACAGTCTTTTGTGCAATTTAATTTACAGTTTGAATAAATATTTATAATATACTCAGTTATTTTCTTTTTTTGCTTCTTGATTTTTTAACTTTTTTTTTTTACCTTGTCCTTCTGGAGTTTCACCAAAGGGATTCACTTCCACCTGAGTTGCATCAATTTTCAGGAAGAGATTATACAGCTTCTTAATTTGATCTGCAGCCTAAATGTGATCAAGTAAAAGAGAGTTACACCAAACCAGTAAAAGGAATTTTATTGTGCTGCATTAATGAAATCTTAAAAATAACAAGATGTGTCTTTATTTTCACTTAAGTTGCCTGAAGAGAGAAAAAAAATACCAAACACCTTAATTATCTTAATTTCCACTGCTATTCATTAGAAGGAATCGCTCAACTTTCCTCCAGACACCAGAAGAGACAATTATCAAGAAAACCAAATATTTTCAGTATGGACTAAAAATGCTGTTAATCTTTTTGTAAATTATCCTACCCCTATTAACAGAGTTATGCTGCAAGATGAGCTGCAATCATTAATACAAACAAGCTCCATTTTAGTAAAACGTAAACATGATTTTGTGAGTTTATAATGACTACGTTTTCCTTGTTGTGCTGGAATAAAACAGCTATTATATTCATCAATCAAAACCCATAATCTGTGAAATAGCAATTATTGAGTGTCTAATGGAAAATGCTGTAAGACAGACAAGAGAAAAGTCCTAAACAACAGTTATTGCACAACACATTTCTAGCTGGAATAAAAGCTTATCCCAAAACATAAACTGCAAAGATTTAGAATATCCAAGAGTTTCCAAGATACTATGTCTTTAAGTTCATTCTTCTCATTCAGCCGAGCATCCACTCACTCATTCATTTCTTCTTATAACTAATATTCATGATTCACTTATGTCACAGCAGGCTGTCATCTTATGAGTAGAAAATGAAGACAACATAAACCACATATGACCTTCTCTGGAAAGCGCATAGCTGCAATGAACAGAGCCTGTGATACAACACAACAAGACAGTGATTTCATGGCTGAGTGATGTGCCTCAATCCATTCTTGCATCCTTTTTATTTCCTGGACATAATTTCCCCTTTGCCACATTCTTGTCTACTGCACCAGACTTGCTTAAAATATCTTCAGATCTATTACTGTTCTATCTTCATCTTCCCCACCACTACTCTGCACATCCAGGAGTTGACTTTTGCCAGCTATTTCCAGGGCTAATTGATCAGCCAGCCTCCAGGCAGCTTTAGCTAATGGGGAGCAACAGTGGGACATGAGACATGGCACAGGGAAAGAAGAGAAAAGACAGGCTGTTTCTCTTGCTGTCTGTCTTGGGCAGCATCTCCTCTGTAGGCTCTGCCTTCCTTCAGAGAAGCTCACCTTCTAGATCTTACACTCAGGAAAGCAGTAAAACCATTATCTCACTTTGTTCTTGGAGCCTAGCAATGCTAACAATTTCCTTTTGTCTCTGAATCTAGATTGCCTCTCTGCACCTTTAAGACTTTACAGTTCCCCTATCACCTATGCAACTATTCTCTGAAATAAATTATTCCTTTGTTCCAGATTGACTAAGGAACTCCTATAGACTTAAAGCTTGTATCTGTGAATTCTAAATCCTAATTTAAAACCCAGGGGGTATAAATAAGTAAACATACATAATAATAAGTCTGAATATTTTTCCATATTATTTTTAGGCTCTTTACTATGAAGCCTACTTTAGAGAAATGAATTGATTTTCTATTACTATTTCCCAAAGTAAATATTATATCAGGAGATCAAATGTCTTGAGTTATAACTAAACTTATTGCTGAATGCATGAAAAAGATATATTTCTAATAATAATATATTTCTTTCCATTGAAATATATTGCTAATAATAATGTATTTCTTTTAATTGTCGTTTCCATAATGGTAATTTTTTTTCTGCCTAGATAATATGTATGTAGGAAATAAAATCCTCAAGATGTACATGTAACTAGCCAAGGCCTGACTGGATTCCCCAGCAATCAACTCTCAGATCCTCTTTTGTAACTGCCACTACAAACCAGCTCTCTGTTCCACTTGTGAGCTATCAATTTCAAGGCACTGACAATTACATATATCCTCCATTCATTTAAAAAAAAAACAACACCAAACCAACCCACAAGTATATACAAGGCTTTACATTCAGTAATAGTATTGAGGGAGATCCCAGAGTAGAAGCTAATCAAAATGAGAAGAAACAGCTGCAAACATCCATTAATAGCTGGAACATGGAATGTGGAAAAATTAGAAGTGGTGAAAAAGTAAATGGACACATGAACATTGAAATTCTAGACATTAGTGAGATGAAATGGACTAGCTTTGGCCACTCTAAATCAGACAATCACATGGTATAACACGTGGACAATGAAACACTGAGGAAGAAAGGTGTTACATTCATAGTTAAAAAGACAATTTCAACTTCTATCCTAAAGTACAATGTTGTGAGTGAGAGGCTATTATCCACATACATACAACGAAGCCCTGACAATACTATTATTCAAATATAGGCCACCAATAGCTAAAGCCAAAGAGGAGAAAATTGAAGACTTTTAACAAATTTTGTAGTCCAAAAATGAACAAATATGCCATGAAAATTCATTAAAGATAATGGATGACCAAAATGTAAAAACTGGAAACAATGAAGAAAGAAAGTTAGTCCAGAGTAGGTGATAGAAAACAGGCCAGAAATAGAATGATCTAATTTTGTCCATTCAATAACTTTTTCATCTCAAATGCCTTTCTTAAAAACACAAATGGTCCACTGTCCACTACTTTCTTCATTGGTATCACCATATAGACACAGATAAATAAAAACTGACTACCTCTGTGCAATGAATCTTTGCTCAGTATCAGCAATCAAACCAAGGCCAGATGTTGACTGTGGAAAAGACCAACAATTACTCATCTGCAGATGCAAACTGAGGTTGAATAAAATTAAAACATGTCTAAGAGAACCAAAAATATTATCTTGACTCTAATCCATCTGAATTTAAAAATAATTATAAGAATAGATGCAAAGCACAGAACACCAGTGGTGGTAGATCATATGAGTTGCATGATGACATCAAGAATATCATCCATGAAGAGAGCAAAAGGTCAACAGAAAGAAAGAGGATAAATAAAAAAACAAAATAGAGGTCAGAAGAGATCTTGAAAATTGCAGGAGAGCACTGAGAAGCCAAAACAAAGGGAAGAACTGTTGAAGTAAAAGAGCTGACCAGGAGGCTTCAAAGGTCAGCTCTAGAAGACAAAGCAAAGTATTATAACATAATGTGCAGAGGCCTAGAATTGAAGAATAAAAAGCAACAAACTCAGCTGACATTTCTTTCTCTGAAAGAACTGAAAAACAAATTCAAACCTCAGACTGCAATATTTAAGAGATGCTCTGAACAAAATCCTGAATGATCCAGGAAGCCTCAAAAAGATGATGAAGGGAATATACAGAATCACTCCACTAAAAAAGAATTGAATGACACTGAGATATTTCAGGAAGTACTGTATGATAAAGAGTCAATGGTAATGAAGGAAGAAGTTCAAGCTTAACCAAAGGCATTGACAAAAATAAGAGCCAACAACAGAGGGGATACCAATTGGCATGCTACAAATAACAAATGCAGCCCTGGACGTGCCCTTCAGCCTATCCTAGGAAAATTACAGGACAGCTGTCTAATCAACTAACCGGAAGAGATCCATACTTGTTCCCATTCTCAAGAAAGGTGATCCACGAGAATGTGGATATTATAGAATAATATCATTAATATCACATGTAAGTAAAATACTGTTGAACATCATTCAAAATCTTCAAGAACAGGACATTGTCAGAAGTTCAAGCTGCATTTAGAAGAGGCCGTGGCACTAGACATATCATTGCTGATGTCAGAGGGATCTTGGCTGAAAGTAAAAAAAAAAAATACCAGAAGAATGTCTTTTTGTGCTTTATTGGACATGAAAAGTCTTTTACTAGTGGATCATAACAAATTATGTGTAACATTGAGAAGAATGGGAGTCCTAGAACACTTAATCGAGCTTATGCAAAACCTATACTTAGACCAAAAGACTACTGTGTGAACAGACTAAGAGAACATTGTTGTTGTTAGGTACTGTCTAGTTGCTTGCAACTCATAGCAACCCGATGTAAAATAGATCTGAACCCTGTCTTATCCGGAGCCAATCTCATTGTCTCTAATACACCTACTCCTATTACCACAGTCACTGAGTCAACCCATCTCACCCAGAGTCTTTCTCTCCTGTGCCATACCTCCACCCTTCCAAGCATGATGCCCCTTTCCAAGGACTGGTCCCTCCTGTCAACATGCTCAAAGTACGTGACGAGGAGCTTAAAAATCCTTGCCTCCAAGGAGCACTTTGGTTTCCCTCTTTGTAGGACAGACCTGCTTTTTCTCTTCCAAGGTATGTTCAACAGTCTTCACCAGCACCACAACTCAAAGATATTTATTCTTCTAGCATCCCAAGTCATTAAACAGCTCTCTGAAGCATAGCAAGTAAATGCGAAGACCATGGCCTGGATCAGTCAAACCTGACTGACACTGTTGCTCTTCAGTACTCTAGAAAGGTCACTGAGAGCAAATTTTCCCATGCAATTCGTCTTTTGATTTCCTGATGGCTAGTCCTTTAGAAACTCTATGAGCATTAAAGAAACTACAGAAGTTACAGAACAGGGTTCAGGTCTATTGTTCCTAGGGTCTGTGTGAGTTGTGCTAAACTTGTCAACAATCTTGATGCCACATTCCTCTTCACAGAGTCCAGCCTCCTAAATGATGTCTTCTGCATTTGGATTGAAAAGGTTTTAGATAGGATGCATCCCTGATGCATTTCTTTTCTGATCCAGTGTTTCTTGATCCTTTCTGACATCTTCCTCCTGGTCCAAGTACAGGTTTGGCATGAGCGCAATCACGTGTTCAGGGATTCCCATCCTTCTCAAGGTTAACCACAATTTGTTATGACCAACACAGTTAAAGGACTTTGCACAGTCAATGAAACACATATAGATATCCCTCTGGTATGATTTGCATTTGGTTAAGATCATTATCATTGGTTAGAATGTTTCTAGTGCCACAGTCTCTTTTAAACCCAGTCTGCACATCTGGCAGGTCTCTGTTGATGTGCTGTGCCAGTCATTTTTGGATAATCTCCTGCAGAATCTTGCTTGTGT